GAATTCGTAATTTAAAAGAATGTGAAACAGGCTGATGGGGCAATGGGCTCCTGAATAGGCTGTTCAATAGTTTGAAATAACCTGTGGAGAGCAGTTTTAGCTTTAATAAAAGAAGTGATAACTGACAAATTATGTTTCTTGCAATTAAATGAAATGTGTCATAGCTTATATAAAATGGAAAAAGTAAGATTTAGAAATAATCTGAATGTTATCATTCCAGATAATTTTTGAACAATTGGTGCCCCATGTAAGCGATGAGACTTTCCCAGATTGCCAGTTTTCGCTGTCGCACTATCATCAAAACTAATCACTAAATAAATTCGAGAATCAAAGAGACAAAAGGTGATTATTCAAACAGTCTCGCAAGGATTCAGGTCTGTGCGATGTTTTGCGGGGGAGATATTCGAAGTTGTCTTAAAGCGCTCATCAACATTTATTTGAGTAATCATTCTCCTACAAGGTCAGGAATGTTCAGACCGCGAAATCCCAGTTGACAAAAGACTTTTTTAATCTCCGTGACAGCTTTCTCAGCTGCCATTTTAACATAGTGTCAAGCAAAAGCTTAGAAGTTTAACCTTGCTTTATAGCTGATGAATAAAGGCTGATAGTTTCGAAAGAAACTGTTTGGGGCTGCGTCGGTGGGAGTAACGAAATAATTTGGATATATCAACAAAGTTGAAATGGTAAATTGGCCACCGTAACGATTACAAAAGCTGACGTTTCGAGCGTTAGCCCTTCGTCGGAGCTGAAAATGATAAAAAGATAGTCTTTATCTGTTCTAATGACTAATCTAACTAAAATCTAGAGAGGATTAATAATTCCTTAATCTTTTTAATATTCTGACGTCAGGTGAAAACCAAAAATATCATGCTGGCTTTTAATTAAGTTTCGCGTGCAAGTATGCAACTGGGAGAAAAGGAAGAAAAAAAAGGGCTGGTCGGGAAAAACCCCTTTCGCTTTCGCAATCGTTAAATAAAGAGTAAACAAAAGATCTGTGGTCACAAGAATGACTTTTTGACCTCTCTATTCTCGGATAACGGAGGCGATTATCATGCCATTGCTGGGAAAGATTACCGGGAAAGTTTTTTCAAAGCAGAAGCAGTATTTCAACATCAAACAGTTTTTAATTTGGGAACCTGCTCCACAGTACCTCTAGAGAAGTGGGAGACAAATCCACCAGTAGAACTCCAGTATGTCTGTGGAGAGTATCCTTTAGCCACTAACACCCATATAAAAGCTAACTTTTTATTCCAAAATGCACCATATTATACCTTAACTTTGAAGTCTGTTGGATGATTTGTACTCCAATAACCTGGCTGTTGGCAATGTGAATACTTAAAGTGGAAAGCAGACACTGACCAGATATCCCTTGTTCACCATAGTAAGTGACTAGCTCATTATATTTTCTAAGTTAATAGAACCTAGAGTAATTAAAGTTGCCAATTTCGTTTCCCAGGCAGAAAGGAAGTGTTTTATTCACAGTATATGTTTTTAAGCTGTTGTTACTGCACACAATTGACTTCAACTCTTATTGCAAAGTTAGCATTTGCATACAATCCTTTACAACTATATTAATTGCACTCTTTTCCCTTATATTTTAGTCATCAACAGTAACCTCAAATGGTAATTCTGGTACAACATCTCAACAGAATGCAACATCTGAACTTGAAAGTGAGTTTCCTACCAAGTGCATTAAGTGTACCAGGAATAAAATTTTTCAAACTTTCACTTCAGTTGTTGAAATAATCTAAACTTTTATTTTTTAGGTGATGATGTCAAGCAACAAGCAATGCCACATGGAACCATGCAGTGTCAGATCATACATATTGACAGATTTTCTTCATTTAAATGGGAAATCCCTGGTTTTCCTGTACCGAAACTTGAACTTGTCAGAGTGCTATTCAAAATTGGCACTGAAATCTCAGATGGTGTTATCCAAAAAAAAGAGGCAGCTAATATTCAGAAAGGGAATTTCATTTGCACTTCTCATTGTGGCATAAGAGTACATGACAAGAACTACACAGTGCTTTGGGAACTTCAACCCACAAAAAGAAGCCAGACATCAGTCCCTAATCACAAGTCAAAGAACACACATGTACATAGGTCTGATGATGGCTTGAACACAGATGAGAGAGATGATTTAGGGGAAGTTGGTGCTATCTGTTTGCCCTTTAAGGTCCTAGGAACATGTTATTCACAGTCTCGACAGGAAGCTCTTGAAAAGGCATTTGAACACCTGTATAACCACAACAGACCTGTGTTTGCAAAACTGCAGGCTGAGCCAGACAATCCATTGGACAAACATGCTATTACTGTTTATGTGATGTCATCGGCCGTTTATGAAAAAGTAGGATACACAGAAACCGAAATGACTCAGTTTGTGCATCCTGTACTCAAAGATCCATCTTTTCTGGTGTCAGTGAAAAGAATATGGTTTTCTACTGTTTTCCTTATGATTGGGTTTTACGTTACCATCAACATCACAAAATCAGGCCCCTGGGACAGGCAGATGTAGCCGCATGCTCTAAAGTAAAGCGAAATTATGGCTTGACTTTATCACATAATTAAAATAATGTTCTAAACAACTCAATATTTGAAGAGTACAGGAATTTCCCAAAAGTTATTTTTTCAAAGTCAGCATGAATAGAGATAAAACATGTGGGCATGTGTGGTCCACATACAGTAAAGGATTGATTAAGCCGGGCTTATTCCAGTATTGGTGCTTAATCGGTCATTCATAGTACCCAGTTATATTGGAAACCTACATGTATGTGTGTACAGAAAATGAAGAGGTACAAAGTATGTAATTTATGACATTTAATAAAAAATATTTTAACACTTACATGTTATACTCAATTCAAGCCAGGGTACAACAGCATATTTATATGCATAATTAAGAAAATTCAAATATAAATACTTACCAAAATATGAAATAATAAAACTAAGCACAACAAGCACTGACCAGATGCCCACCAGCCATTAGTGGCCCAAGAAAATATGGGCATGTAACGTAAACCCAAAGTTGTGATGTATATTGAAATACAAAAGGTCCCAGTTGTTCATAGGCTGATTAGCGCGTACCCTGAGGTTAATTTAAACTCGGCTTTCCTTTTATTTGTCTTAAAAAAGATATTCTCATTTATTTTACATGATTATTTGTAGAGCGTCCAATCATCAACTTGTAAACAAAAGGAGTTAAACCTGGCATGCTTTTTAAGCTTTCAATTCTGAATGCAAATCTTGCCCATCTTTGAACAACTGAGACCGACTGCAATAACTATTGTCCTTCCAGCTGAGGTGGAGGCAACTCTACAGGGGTTCTATGAAAATGGGCTCTGACAGTTAATTGACCCCTCTGGGGTAAGGAAGCTCTGTTAGCAACAAAGACTCCTGGATCTCCCCTTCGTGACAAACGGATTTGATCAAGTCTCTCTGTGATCCCTTCTCCCGATGGTTCATTAAAGGAAGGAAGTTCAAAGTCTCTGTACCGTTCATTAGCCCCTGACCAGTAAAAAAATTCCAGATCCGGGTCTATTCGTTTCTTGAATTCACTCAGAATTTTCGGCTGTGCATCCAGAAATTGCTTAACGTCAAAAATGTCTCCAAGCATTTCATGTTTTAGGGCTATGATTCCTTCAACGTCATCAGTTGCTGATGCTCTCAGGTGTTCAGGGGGGAGCCCTCTCTTCTGGTATTCCACACGTCGTAACTCTCTACTCTCCAAGTTTGCCACCAGGCCTACAATAGTTTCTTGAGTAAAGCCACAGATCCCTTTTATAGGCCTTGACATGATAAACCATATATAAGAAAGGATTTCATACAACTCAAAAAATTAATGCCAGTAAGCAAAACAAACACAGACTCTACTCTGGGGTCAGTTGATAGAGCAAATGTGATATTCAGCAAAGCAGTAAATGGGTAAATAATAAAGAAGCCATTCATAAAAATGCCTCACAAAATGCAGGAAAGTTTACTTATAAGGATCCCACAATTCAAAGTTTCCCAGTCGAGGTCAAAAGATTCTTAACAAATGGGGCAATGCCCCTTTCCACACCCACGCCAAAAAAAATCACATACATGTAATGAATGGCTTCAGTATTTTTTTTTTCTTCTCTAAACTTTCTGGGAACCCAGACATCCTTATTTCTTCAAGGATCATCAATGGTTCCTCTACAAAAGATAAGAAATCAAGAGCCCACCTGTTCACATCAATAGTGCTAAAGTTAGGTTGAGAACTGTACCATGGCATCCAATCTGATAGCAACCACTCTTTCATGTCTCTACAATAAGTCGAGCGCTGTTCTTTGGTAAGTCCTCTCCCATCAAAGGCTTTGTGCCAGTTGTGGATCCGTCTGATAATGCTGGCTCCACCTATGTGACCTTTTCGTTCAAGGAATGAAATGACTCCGGGACCAATGAGCCGCTCACAGTCAGGTACTGACTGCTTGTTCTTCCCAGTAAGCGCCTCATATGTCAAACCAGTAGCAGGGTCATGCAGAGCATCTCTAAGGTATCTTAAATCAATGTCCAGAATAAGGCCTTCACGAAGACGAGACACTATGCGTTTGAGAAGGTGGTTATGGTCTTCACGGTGGTGGATTCGTTCACCATTAGCACCTTTCTCTGGTTGCTACAGGTAGTCCAAAAAGTTTGCAGGATCACTAAGGTGATGTTTGAGATCTTCAATTTTTCTTCTGTACAAGTAAATGGCCATTATTGATTTCATCACATCTTCTGATTCTTCTGGCTTGTCTGTAAAATAGAGGTATTTTCAATTAGTTTCCAACTCAATCTTGAATATCAAAGGTGATGTTTTGTTATCTGTTCAACTAAATTTATTTTACCTTTTCAGGAAAGGTGCTATATTGAACTCTAACCACAGAACGCTCTACATTTTATAAACTACATTGCTTTGTTGTATCATTGCACCTTTCAAAAGAAATGGAATAGACAGAAGATAATACCAGAAAGAACTATGCTGGCTTCTACATGGCAAAAAATGACCATGCACTTACCTCTAATCCAAGGGTGTGGATCATGCATAAAGGGAAACAGCTTTCTTCTCAGGATAAATAAGGCTCTCTCAAATGGAACTGAGTCGTGTGACATGAGCGAATGCATCCACATGACATCCTCTACAGAAACAGCTGCATGTTGACCTAATGGGTTTCCTTTAAGAAGAACATCATTGTAAGAAATATCTTGTGTAAAGCAGTTTTCCAGGGCCTTCTAGCTCTAAAAATTTACTATCTGAGTAAATAGAGCAAGAGGATACAAAATTTACTGTAGTGCAAAATTAATAATAAACCCAGTGAGGGACACCTCATAACACCTACCTTGTCTATTCAGTTGAAAGAAGCGAGCAATGCTATTGGGACTCATGTGTCGTGCTTCATTTCTTGACATTTTAATTATCTCTAGCACAGAAATTGGTCGTAAATGTCCAGCAGTTCGAAGGGAATTAAATTTCCCATCAGTTGTAAAACCTGAACAATGACAAAAAAACAGCATGTACATTGGTCTGTTCTGTCCTAAGCAAAATAATCTAGTATGGGAAAAAATAACAAACCATTTGAAATGTTCCAACTGAAGACAGAAATAGACAAGAGTCACTAACACAACTCAACCAAAGACCTAAGACCTGATAAACACAGTAAAAATTAGAAAGATCATTGTTTTTACAGGTGCATTTAAATCTGGAAACAAATTACATTAATAATCATAATATTAATAATAATAATAATAATAGTAATAAAAAAAGATATTGATTTTTAGTCACTAAACTTCATTTATTTATTTAGCTTTTAATAAGTCTGGAGAGATTATTTATTCCTACACGTAGTAATAATATTATGGCATACATAAGTTCTTACAACCGTCATGATGATGATGATGATTATGATGATGATGATGATAATAATAACATTGAAAATAAGAAAAAACAGAGCAACTGTAATGCATACCCACAATGGTCATGCCAGCATTTCTCATAGCTTCCTCCACCTGAAGTTCCATTTCTCTCAGTTTAGAGTCTGTAAGGGACTTGTATGGCATAAATTTCACTGGAATTGCATATGGTTTTCGATTACGCAATTCATCAGCAATCATGAATACCAAAATATGGCTGGTAGCAGTACCCTTTTTGGTGAACAGATCCTTGAGATAGCTTAACATGTTCCACTTCAGTGATGTTAAATCTGTGAATGCACTGTCATTGTCCATTTGCCTAAAAACACTCAACTGAACTTGAAAAGTTCTAACTTTTTTAATTAGTTCTTCAAAACCCACAACAGTCCAAGCTAATTCCATCATCGTTCGGTCTGATGACCGTGAACCTTCCACTGCCTTACTGTACAATCCATTAGCAGCCTCTGCCCCTGATGTTAAAAATTCCAAGTCCTCCTCCATCTCTGTCTGCAACCTTTCCACATCTCTCACAATCAACCCCGACCTGCCAGATGTACCCACTTTCTTCACAAAGGAACATCTTCTTATGTACTCAGCATACAATGCTTGCAATGACCCATCCCCCATATCCTCATCACCAGCCCAGATTCCACGCACACTTTCTCTCAAGCCCTTTCTCACGTCACATGCCTCGGCTTTTATCCACCACCTTCCCTGTGGATTACATTCTTTGGCCTTCTTAAGTGCTTCCACCTAAATGTAACAAAAACTACAATCGTACAATTGTACTGTCTTGGATAATAATGTTATTGCTTTGTTATCTTGGCTGAACAGAACAAAACGATAGTGACCTGACAAAAAAGGCTCTTATAATATCATCGAGAGGGAACATTAGCAAAATAAAGTAACTTATGTGTAGCATATATTATAAATCATATCATTCTTCACAAATCTGCATCATCCTTATACAAATTGGGTAAGAAACTCACTTCTCTTGTAATCAGGTGCTACTGACTGTGATTTTTTTTTACCTCAAACCCTTAATCAAAATGATGAAAGCAAAGAAAGGTAATGACAATGTCACTGTTTCTTTCCTCAAACAAAAAAAAAAAAACAGCTTAATTGAATATCAACAGTTTTGGAGAATCCTGATGATGCAATACGCTTCTGGATCTGCCGTACCCCTAGGCTGGCAATGTTTACTTTGCTCTTTCAAAAAAAAAAAAGAAAACAAAAACCTGGAATTTTGTACTGAATGTCAAGATTGACACAACATATGTAGATGTTATTAAACCAAGACCTATCACACACAATCATTATCATGCACCTTCGTGAGTTTTTACAAATTACTCCATTATGTTCAGTTATAGTTTAAAAAATCATTCATCTTTCTTCATGGTAAGGGACTGACCAAAAAAAAAAAAAAAGTAAAAGTTCCTTTTTTAAAAAAAAGTTGTTTTATAAAAAAATGCACATTGTTTTTGTTCTGTTGTTATCATACGTATTATAGGGGAAAACAAATCATGAATATTATAGAAACCTTCAATGGATTGTACATTCCAGGATTTTGCTGTCCACTACTCATTGTGGGTTGGATCCGATGAAACTTTTCCATTTCTTGAGGGGCAACTACACCCAACTCTATCTCCTGTTGTTGACTGAGAAACATGAGTCCACAAATGCAGAACATGTACCTCATCTTCAGGTTCCTGACCTTCAGTACTGCAACAGGAATCTTCTGACATTTCATTTGAGAGGTTTAGGTCATCTACTGACAATGACGACTCTTGCAGAGCAATTTGGATGATGTCCTCTTCATCCAATGTACCTACAGAACTGGTACTGCACTCATTATCCTGCAAGGGACTCTCAATGGTACTGTGAGTGTCCACATCACATTGCCAAGCTGGTCCCCTATGAAGGCACAGCCACTTGTGGCCAAAATGCAAAAACATTGTTTCCAGCCATGAAGCATGGTGGTCTTCAATGCCAAGGTTCTGCGTACTACCCTTAGCAAAGAATCGGATGTTTTAATCTAACAAACCATAGGGCATTCTGTTAATTGGCATTCGTGGATTTGAATCTTGAAAACATTTACTAAGATAGTAAATCAAGTTGTGTTTATTGTTAGTGAACAATGTTTTCATGGCACTCAAACTTGATGGGAGGAAATCTGCATTGACATATTTATAAAAGTCCTCTCCAACACTCTGGATAATGGTCACCTTGAGAAAATAAGAAATAATCTGTGTTTGCAATCTCTGAGAAATTGCAGATTTGAAACATGCTATAAAATCCTTAATCAACTCTCCAACATTGCTTGCCATTGGCCTTGCATCCTTTGATGGGGAGCAACTGAATATTGGTGAAAGGGGTTCATCTAGAGTAGTATCTCGAGATTTCTGAGGAGTGCTCTTGTGGTCTTCACTAAAATCAAACGTGCTGTTGAAATAATCCACTTCAAGTGCCTCCTCTGCCTCTGATAATGACTTGAACTTTCTTGAAAGATGTTTTGTAACCCTTGTTCTACAAGAAGAACCTTAAAGGAATAATAATAATAAAAAAAGTAAATACATGCAAAAAGTCTTTGGAACAACATCATTATAATTCAACAAGGGTTAATATCCACTTACTTAGTACAATTCCTCTGAATATTAATTGTTACAACAACTGACAATATTGCCAGATTATAGCAGAAAGATCCAATCAGATGATGCATTGTTTTGAAAATTTTAGACTAAACTCTTTAAATGTCAACATACCCGTCCTTGAAGAATTACACGCTTTATTCACTGCATTAGCACACGCATCCCAAAACTCAGAGTCCCTATGCATCGGCCACTTGTCAGAAACCGCATCATCCCAAAACAGACAAATATATTGAACTAAAGAGGAGTTTTCTGCTTCAGACCATTCTCTTTTTTCTACTGCCCTGTTTAAGATGCATCCTTCTGAAATCAGGGTTTTTCGCGATGACCTTTCAGTGGAAGTTGTGGTCGAAGGGCGCTTAGTTTCCGGCTTCCCTGGCGTATTCCCCTCAACAACAACAGGCCTCTTGGTCGCCATATTTACCTAAAAGTTAACCATGTTCAAACGGTTATATCTAAAGATGAACTGGGGAACGTTGGGGAGCGTTTATATACAGGGTTGGAACCCTTATCAAAGAAGCGTTTTACACCTTTTTTATCACTCAAACTGACGGAGGTAAGAAATTCTAAGCTTTTAAGAAACGGTGTCAATTTCACAGTAAAATGGCGTAGATAAAATGGGCTATTAGAAACAAAAGAGTGTTTTTCGTTTGAACCCAAAAGCCATGTTGTTTAACTGTTTGGAAGTTGAAAGAGACATTTCGGCAAAAA